CGGTGGCCTCATGGTTAGTGCGCTCGACTCTGGATCGAGTGGTCTGGGTTCGAGCCCTGGCCGGGACATTGTGTTGTGTTCTTAGGCAAGACACTTTACTCTCACAGTGCCTCTCTCCACCCAGGTGTAAAAATGAGTACCGGCAATTTAATGCTGGGGGTAACCCTGCAATGGACTAGCATCCCATCCAGGGGGGAGTAGAAATACTCCTAGTTGCTTCAAGCAACAGAGACTGGAGTTTAAAGCACTGGCCTAATGGGCCACTAGGCCCATAAACAGACTTTACTTACTATAATTTAACTTATCGTATGAAAGGAATTTCTCCCTATCATATACCGTTTCCAGCTGAAAGATCATCTTTAATCTTTCTTACTGGTACTTAATTTCCTGTGTTTTTTTTTTTGAGATTGTAAAAAAATTGCAAATAAATTGAAGACCAACAAACAAAAATGCTCACATGTGGAATTATAAGACCATTCAAATCACAGAAAAAAATATTGAGACATATTGTAATAAAAAAACCACAACAGGCTATACATCAAAACTTAAGAGGCCAGTTTTACAGGTAAGTTCTATAATGTGTATCTAGATCTTGTGTAATGCAATACTGTATTTACCCGTGTAGAATGTGCACTTTTTCTACAAAAACAACCATCAAAATCGCACTGCGTATTATACACGGATTCCATTGTTTGTCACGCACTTCCTAATATTTGCATACGTTACATTAACACAACAGAAAAAGTAACACATTTAAAGCTTTGATTAAATAACTTACTTTCAATGAAAAATTATAGGTGCATATTAACTTCTTATTCTAAAATCAACAGGAAAGACAAAAATCGCTAAATATTTTTGCAAGTGTGCAAACAATGGCATGGATCAGATTTCAGAGGGAATATGCAAATTTGGCCGTGTGTGAAGAGATCTCATGTTACTTGGAATTTCTCAATGAGAAGCAAGAAAGCAAGCAAGAAATATGTCAGGACAAAAGTTTTATTTAAAGCAGTTCTTGATTTGGTGTTATACGCAAAAAACGCACAAATTTAATTCTCATAAGTATAGAGCACACACAGTGAAATTCATCGTGGTTATATTGTTGTTTACTCAGTAAAGAAGAAGAAGAAGAAGAAGAAGAAAACTTTATTTAATGTGGGTAAAACACATTGATTACTGGTCACCCAGTAGTTTTCATAATGGCCCTCCTATAATTAAAAGTAATAAAACATAATTTTTTATCGACCAAATTAATTAACTATTAACTACTTTACTGCCAGAAAATTGCATAGCGTTAATTTGAAATTTCACAATGACACAAAATCTTCGATGACTTCTCGGACATATTGTTGCTCACTCATAATATTTACCAGGCCATGGAATCATCAAATTAGCTAGGCATCACTTGAATTAGTCCTAAAGTTTGATTTCAATAATGTCATAAATAACTAGGTAGCAAAAGATATTGATCATATGTTAACGATATGGTAAATTTCTTATTCTTGTTGTTTAAATAAATAATTGTATGAATATTTCACTTGTCTTTTCAGCCGTGAAAAACTTTTGCTTCTGATAAATAAGGTTAAAATCAAGGGTGGACATGCATTTTACATCATGATGGGTGCGCATTATACACACGTAAATACAGTAATCATAGTCATCTAAATCACAAGATTCAAGTGCCAGAGAATATCTTTTGTACAGTCCTCAAAATTGCCATTCACTGGTTTCTTGTAGTTCTCATTCACAAGTTTCTTGTAACATTTCAACAACTGGAGGTTATGAAAAACAAAATGAAGTTAAGAATCCTTGAACCATGAATTTAATAACCTATCGTCATATTGGCTTGTTGAAATCCCAAAAATGAAACTGAATCCCATGAAACTGTCTTGCCAAAATTGCAAAATTAAGTACAAATAAGGTAACACCAGATTCTCAGAGCTAAAATTCTAGAAATTGAAAGGCAGACAGATGGGAGAATTGATACCATGCCATGATCTTGGGGATTTATATAGAAGGTTCATAATACATACTCAGCTTTTTTATATCGATTTTATGGTACTTCACAGTGGCCCGGTTTTCAGCTCGGCACTGCAGCGTCTCAAACTCGACATCTTGTTTGGTGATCATTGTAAGGTAGCTTTTGCTACCTGTGTCATCATGCAATCTCTTGGGTACTGTCCTGTTAGATGGAATGTGCATCCATGAGAACCTTGCTTTGTGGCCCTCTGGAATCTTTACTGCACAAACTACTGTTATCTTCTGGTTTAGCCAAGACTCTTCACTGGTGTCAGAGGCAGACTCATTTATCAAAAGATCTAGATAGAATATGACAAAAATTGAGCATGAATGATTGTCACAATCAGAAGCTAAAAGGAGAAGTGCAATTAGCTTTTAATTTTTACATTTATTTATTATTATGTATTTCAATTGTTAAGTAAATGAAAATGAATTTCTTGTTGTTGCTGTTATTGATTGTACACTACGTCATTAATCTCCCTTAAGTTATTCAAAACACAACAGGAAGAAGAAATTTTCAAACTGGTAGTCAGCAATCCTTTTTCCTGTCAAATTTTCAAGAATTACAAGCAATTTTAGGCAGTAAAAAGATGCACCACAGCGGGTAAATTTGACCAATTAGTCTCTCTGTAAAGGAGAACACAGCTATTGATCAAGGAGGAATTTTGATGTTACGACAGAGAGTTTGTTTTGAGATTCCAAAGAAAAATAATCTTTCAAAGATAAGTGTCATTTCATCAACTGAGTTGATGTAAAATGGCCATCTCAAATAGCTTCTCAAGCAGCCCCTGAGTATGCCTTTACTAGTCCCATTAGTGACCACTACAGAAATTCTCCTTACAATATCAGTACAATATCAAGCAGACAAGTCATGAGAATAAAGGAAAATATTAATTAGGGGATTATAAGTTTTGATCCCCCACCAAACTCTCCAAAGGAATTGTATGGCAGACTGTAACAAGAATTACTAAAATATGCCATAATTAAGAGGAGTACAAGGATTATTAGCAAGGTTCTAGCACACATGAAGACAATCTTTGAACAGTGACAGCTGGGTTTAACACTAACTTTTCAACTTACTAATTATAGCCAAGTGGCTAGTAACATCTTAGATGTTTTTAGATGTTATAACAATTTCAGTTTGTTTACTTGTCAAACTGGCTTGTCAGTGGAAATTGAAAACCACTAGCCAAAACTGAATTTCTACTAGTCTGTGGCTAGTGGACGACCGTTAGTGTTGAGCCTTGAGTGAATCATCTTTTAAGAGGTTAATGTTTGCATGGCCTCTAAACCCTATCCAGCCGCAACATCATATTCTCGTTACTGTTACAAGGAGAATTTGTTTGATAATCAAAAGCTTCTCTAGAAAAGAATCTTTTCTCTATTCTAATGACATTTACGTCTGATTAAACCATGACTCACAGTAAGACTGCAGTGAGAAATTAGATACATGCTGGTCACTCTGGGTATACCCTTGTAATTAAATTACAAGGTTCGACCATGATTGGTAGTAAATCTTTATTTTACACTTAAGTGGCAGAGATAAAAAATCATAGGGGTTCTATGGCAGATTCATCATATATAGTTCTCCCTCAAGGTTTTAAGCTGTCATTGGAAAATTGTGGTTAAAATTTTTGACTGACTAACATATAGTTATGGTGGTAAAGAGCTTATTAAAAAGGCGAAAAAAGAAAGAGTGTAATTCCCAGACAAGATGAGAGTCTATCTGTATGAATCAATGTCTTATCTGTGGTCATATTCACCAAGCAGAAAATGCAAGATAATGATTTTTAATCATTAATGAAGACTTAACAATATTAAGAAAGCTGACTAAAAGCAACATTTCATAATTTGCACACCAAATGCAATTTCCATAGTGTAAAAAATTCTTTCACGTCACTCTTTCTACAAATTATATATACCATAAAGAAATTTATCTTCTTTAACCTATGATCATATTAATGGATAAATTCACTATTAAATGTTATTCAGTCAGTATCCTTATAAATACATCCTGCAAGTAACCCATAGATGCTATAATTTTCATAATAATTGTATAGTATTTTGGTTTTCACCATGATTGCAAAAGCGGCGCGAGTCTCACAACTTCCTTCCCACCACAAACAACCATCATTATTCACCACTTTTTTTTACAATGATCCTTTAAGCTTCACTAAATATTTTCCCCTAAGATGGCTTCAAAAAGATAGGCAAGAGAACAGCACTTTGACCACAATTGAGAACAATTAAAATTACACATAACATGTATAAATATTCATCAGAATGAAAAATTATGATTATACTGACAAGCTATCATATTTGGTGAACCCAGTGGTCATAATTTTATCCTTTCTTCGACAGAAGTCATAGATATGCTTCCAGGGATGTTAATAAGAACAGATTTTACCCCAAAAAAATGTGTACTGAAGTTACAAAATTATAATTTCATGACTGACTCATGATAAAATTTGTGGGTTTTGAGCACCTGTCTTCAGAAAAGAGAAGAAACAAATTACATATACGAAGAATATGTAGATAAAATGAGATAGCCAAATGCCATCATAAACAGAACCCATGCATGCATATCACCAAGAAAAGTTGGCCAGAGGGCAATTTTCTTTTAATTGTCAAATCGGAGGAAAACATCTATTTCAGTTCTTTTCATCGTACGATTTAACAAAAAAAAAGTAAAAGCAATAAAAACAACATTTCAGAAAAAAACATTTTCACGGTTGGATCTCAAAACGGAAGACACCGCAAACTACAGGAAATTGATCCTTATCTGGATGTATCACAAATAAAACACGACGTTGACAGTTCGTCGTCTAAAATTGTTCGAAGAAAAACTTTGACGCACGTGGAAATGCTAATCGAGAACTAGAAGCGCTTCCCGAAGGTTAGAAATGAACAGCTGCTGCTTTCATTCTCAAGTTGATTTTATATTAGAACGCACTAGAATGGTAGAACAAACTGAAAGCCACGCGAACATAAAATCGTTTCCTAAAATTCCTTGACGAACGTCCATAGCCTGTCCAAACAGCTGCATTTACGACAGATTTGGCCACATATCAACAGAATAGTCGGTTACGTGCTAGAATCCAAACAAATAAAATTTCTTCTTGTTCGATGCAATTAACAACTTGCTAATTCAACGCGATATCAAATGTTTTACTATTTTTATCACGCCATACATTTTCCTCCTTCTCGAAAGCACGCCAATGAATACAAAGAGATAAACAAAACATTTTATATATTTTCCACTATTCACAGCCTGTATTTTGACCAACTGGCTTTCGATCGTTGTTGATCTTAAATTTTGTTTCTTTTCAGCCTTTTCCAGAAGTCACTAATAAAACGATTATGATGCAAGCTTGATCTATTTGAATAATATAAGTCATATCTGTTCATTTATATCTCTAGGGACTCGCCGCTACATTACAGCCATTTATCACCCTGTACAATATTCGCTTTCTTTGAACAAGGAAACGAGTAAAATCGACGGCCGTTTACTATGTTCAAAAAAGAAATTCACACCGTCATTAAGGCAATATTAATTTACACATTTTTACGACTGTTTTGAATATCTTCCAACGACTACTTCTTAAACGCTGACCAAACAAGAATTCAAATTACGCGCGCGTAAATCTAATAATCGGAGAATAAGGAAATTTCCTTGCATTGTACTCACCAACAACGGACAGCTTGACTGTATCACTTTCAGTTTTTCCGATTCCATATCTAACTTGACAAAAGAAAGTCGTGGAGTCTTCCAATTCAACATTCCTAATCTTAAAACTCGCTCGCTTGTCAGGGACGATCTCGACTCTGTTCCGAATCCATTCAACGCTCTGGTCAAGGTTGTTCTGTATAGTTCCCTTCTCAGTCTTAACCAGAATGGCCACATTGTTTTTTTCGACAACAACTCCGAATCCGACTTCTTGCACGTCTTCCACAACATATTCCCAATCAAACTGCACATCCTTGCCGACAAATATCTCCTTATCTTTGGGTTTAGTAGAAAAGTAAACTGTGTCTTGACTCGCAGCATGCGCTAGTTGACAATAAAAAAATTACAACAAAATAAACTCAGTCACAATCCCTTCAAAGTTCTTGCTAATAATTTACCGTCTGACTTACCAAATAACGTAACGAACAACCCAATTGTCTTTATTTGAGAACAGACAAAGGAATTCATTGTACAACTTCCCTTTGCACAGCACGCTTAGAACAACACACGGTTCTGGCCAACGGTCAAGCCAATTTTGCTCTGATTACTGCTCGCGAAGTGAACACCAAAGCGAACGCTAATCTTAAAACAGAAAGATGACCTTGTTATAAACAGATGCATGAAAAGGCCTATTCCAAAACATGTTCATCAGATAATGTCGATCACACTTCCTTCCTAAGAGATTTCTTGTTTGTCTTCTTCAAACATATGACTCGTGGCACGCTATTTATAAAAGTGAGTCACGTGGTTGTCAACCGCAATCACGACGTGTTTTTTTTGCGGCACGAGAAGGAAATCGAAACAGCCAGAAGACTGACGTTCGATATTCCTTTCCGAATGTACCGCAACCTTGTGAGTTTGCCTTTTGAAAAATGCCGATTGAGGCAGTTGACAAAGAAATAAGATTAATTTAGAAATATAATATTATTCTATTTCTAGAGAACGCTAGGCTTCATTTGAAAGCAATATCAACAGAGGGAACAAAATGACTACAGTTAAAAACGAAAAAGTCACATAATTAAAGAAGCTTTAAGTCTTAAACCTCTATATAAGGTGCGAAAAGGGTCTACCACATTGTGAAGTGCTGAATTTTTAAGAGAGAAAATGAAGCTTTCGGATTAATTTTCGGCAAGCAAATAGGATTTGTGAGTTAATATTCATATCCTTTCTGTTTTAACAAAAAAAAACGTCTATAATGTCATAGCTTGTGCATAACACAAGCAAATACCCCGCTTAATGGATAGTCACTAAGTTTTATTAATATCCTAATGACAGTGTTTTTGTTCTTATGAAACCATAGAGTTTATTTCTAGATGAGAGAGGTCCTTGCCTGACAAGAAAAATACTGACTTTTATTCATAATAGATCATGTTTGTAAGGTGGCCTGCGAGGACATTGTTTGTGGCCTGCTAGGAAAATTTTTGCATGCACTGCGTTTTTCACTAAAAACGTTTTACAATTATCATAAGCTCTATAAGTGATCAGGGTCTCCATATCCATTAATTTCGACGTTCTCTTATCCGTTTTATCATATCACACAAGTAGTAATTCAAACACAAGATGGGTGAAATTTGGAAAACGTATGTAGTCAAAAAATTCAACATCACATCGTGGGAAAAAATTAAAGGAACTCCATTCGATTGTATGAAATTCGTGGCATTCTTCTAACAAGTAATCGGGTGTAGTGTTTATTAGCTAGGATATCTCTGATTATAAAACAAATAGTCATTATTCCGGTTTATTGAGATTAAATTGTACATTCTGCTGGCTTGAATAAACTGAAAAGAGTTCGTCGCCGAAATGTCTACCTTTCGCAGCAGTGATATGTCATTTGAAAGCCATTTGCGCAAACCATTCAAAAGGAATATTGAACATAATTTTCTAAACAAAATAAACATGCAGAAAAAGCCATAACAATCTGAACGTCTCAATATATAAAGAGCTAAGTAAAAATAACCATATTTGTGGAATATTATAACTGAATGGATTGACCTAGTCACTTCGGCAGCTGGTATTGAACATATGAAGCTGAAAGAACTTAAGTCGCAAAGATTCGGAGATACACGAAAGTAAGGTAGTTTTCCCATTCGAGATTGACGTGCATTTAACTTGAAAAAAAAAAAATTGGCCGTAAACGAAATAGAAGACTTTCTTGATCAAAGAGAAATTACTTGTCTTCAACTGATCATTCTGTGTTAGATGTCGAAGGGAAACAAACCTCAGGTCTTTTTGATTGATTGCTGGTAAAGTTCACACTGAGAAAAACCGTTTGAACTCCGCTCGCCAATAAGGCTTCACCCTGTGTTGCGGGCATAAGCTGGTCACATTTTTTTTTTTCTCGTGATTTCCGTCTCGGTACACTTGGAGCTTTCCTTATCTGACAATAACCACTCCAACAAAACTACATGTCTGAAACGAAACTAGTCAAGACTGCTCGCTTAGCGTGCAGCCGTTCTTATTGTACAGTTCTTTTACGATCCGAAATCACGCAAAGAATTTTATTTGCAAATCAAAAACTGCTGATATCAGACATGTGCCACCCGTGGTTACTTACGATATCAAAGAATCTTTAGCTAAAATGTCATTGATTTTCTTTTGGTGATGTCAATCGACGAATGAGGAAACTGGTTGACAAAACATATTGCATCATTTTCAGATTTAGAGTGTGAAAACGGTAATGATCCATGCAGCTATTTCCATCGGCAAGAGTTGTTACACCTTAGATTTTTAGATATCTCATCATGGTAATCCATGCTATAATTAGCAACTTGAAATTCCCGAGTTGCGCTTAAACAACAAATGATTAGCAAATGATTCTTATGTTAAACATATCTGAGACACTTCAAAAACTTGGCTTCAGACTTATTGCATTGAATAGAAGATGCGAGAGTTTGATCCCTCTTTCTTTTGGCATCAGTGACTGACTGAAATCAAGATTTGTCGTGTACCCTATAAATTCTGTTCTGATCCGTCTATGAATGGTGATAAACTCAAAGATTGGCTGCTCCTCTGTAAGAGTACGATGCCAAAGATTCAAGGGTTACGAAGATGAAATTAAAAATAGTTTGGAGATTTTTGCTGACGAGTTTTCAAAGAGTTCATTTCATCGGCTATTCAATTTCGTTGCCAATTTATTACATTTTCCCTCATAAAATCAATTATGGAGAAATCTTATCAGTTTTGAGAAAGGGAGTATATATCTGAATAACGACGAAAAAACTTGAGGATGTGTAGGCGTGAGAAAAAAAATAAATGAAAAGGGAAAACCGTATGGCAAATAGACATGTTTCAATTTCGAACAGGTGAGAAAATACTTTCATCGTAAAAGCTGGGAGTTCTAAATCAAAGTGCGCGTTATTGCGAAATTGTCTTAAAATAAATAATTTGATCAATTTTGTCGGTAAACATTTATCGCTTTGTATGAGTTTATCTTAAATTGTTGTTAATATAAACAAAATTGCCAATTTAGTCTAAATTCAAATAAATTTTATTGACTTTGAAATTTCAACCCCTTCAAAAGGCCGAAGAAAACCCACGGCGTATTTCAATGGTTGCTGCGATAATCTCTTGCTAATCCCTCTTATCTGGTTATTAGCGCATATGCTCATTCAGATTACCCAAGATAGCAAACGCACACAGGTGTATGGAGCCAAAGGAACAAATTCTCGACTGGTAGAAAACCGCTAGTACGCTGAAAAAGATCTGCTCAGCGATAAAATTAATCTTTTGCGGTTATGGAGGGATTATGGGGATTAACCAAGCTCTAGCTTTCGGAGTTATCAGATATCATTTCGCAGTTAAAATGGAAACTTAGCCATCTGTAAAAGGTTTTCGAAGCCTTTTTCCATAAATTGCCTAAGCTCCGTTCACTGCTTCCTCTTTCAATTTTTGTTTTTTCTGTCAATTTTTCCCTCTGTCGTTAGACTTGACCCAACGCCGTGCTTGAAAGATGCGGTGACCTTGAGCACGCCGTGTCAAAATTGACCAATCCCCCCTTTCCCATCTACCCTTACGGGTACAAATGGGTACAAAACCTCCATTAGAGAAACCGTAAATCTTGCACCCAAGCCCTACCATGAAACAGGAACTGAATTACAACCGCATGGCCGTGAAAGATCTAAGTACAACTCTGAAGAAACCTAATAGAATATACGGGGCAATCTTCATGCGATGGACCAGCATCACAACCAAGGTGAGTAGGGTAAGTAGTGCTACTCTCACTCGCTTCATGCCACAGAGACCGAGATAGCCTTTGTCTATAACAGAGGTGAATCGCTCTGTGAGCTGATCTTGCTAAACGCATACCCTGGGGTGGGTGATGGATCTGAGAAAAAAAAAAAGGTATGGGAACACCTATAATAATAACAATCTTTTATTAGGAAGCTCCATCACAATAGTGGTTTACATAGAGGTCCTAAATACTAGATGTGTATTATATAAAAATACTATTAAAATATAGAAATTTGAGCTAAAATTGAAATATAAAAATGATTACAACATATACACTGCAAAAATTAATTAAAAGAAAATACTTAATTATAAAAAGCAGACTAAAGACACTTTGTAAAAATTGGCAAACTTACTGAGTTTCTTACAGTTCTCTCTAACTCATTACAGTCTTTGAAACAGTGATACCGCAAACGATGTTTTCCCCAATTGTATTAGATTTTGGGGAGCTTTATAGTGCCGTTATTGCGCATATTGTAGGAGTGCATATCACTCTTTCTTACAATGTCCAAAGAATGATTAATTTCGCCATTAATACACTTGTATGCGTATCTACATCGATGACATTTCCTATGTTCTTCAAGATTTAGCCATCTCAAGACTGTTAATGCATCAGTGGATGAGGAGTGAAGTGATCTATCTAATATCAACTTAGCTGCTTTGTTTTGCAGAATTTGCAATTCCTTCATTAGTGTGACATTGTCCTTGTCACCCCAGACTAAATCAGCATAATCAAAAATAGGCAGCACTAAGCTATTATAAAAACGTAACCAAGCATTATAAGGTAAATAATACTTAATCCTAAGTAAAAGAACAAGGTTCTCATTAACCTTACATGAAATATACTCAACATGGTCGGACCATGTAAAAGTTGAGGACAACATAATTCCCAAATATTTAAAACTAGTTACAAAATTTATATCAGTGTCAAAAATAGATAATGAGAAAGAGTAAATACCAACAAGTTTCCTATTACTACCTATAATCATGGATTTTGTCTTAGTAAGATTCAAAGTTAGCTTATTTCCATGTAGCCACTGGGCAACTTGCAAGAGATCATCATTCAGTTCCTCTTCCAACAGGTGTGGGTCCTTAGCAAAGTAGTACAGGACCGTGTCATCAGCATGCAAAGTCACCTTGAAATTATTTATAGCCAGAGGATGGTCATTAATAAATGACCGTCCTCTGGCTATAAATAATTGCACCTATTCCATGCAATATGACCCTGTCCTTTTGAAAATCAATTTTGAGTAAAAAGTGTAGTCGCCTTATAATGAAAATTTTACATCCCTTCTCTAACCCAATTAAAAGAGGTAAAAAAGATAGTTCACCTCTACTGAGTAAGTTAATTCAGACTTCCATTACCAGCTGTTAGAGCTTTTATAAACCAAGAGATTCTAAATGTCCTCTTGTATAAGACTATTGGTAAATTTGTGTACCCCGTCACTTTCTGCACTACACACAAGTGCAGTTAATGTCTACCCTA